ATTGAACACTGGCCTGTGCAAAGGGTCGCCGGTTCGATTCCCAGTCAGGGCACAGGCCTGGCTTGTGGGCCAGGTCCCCAGTAGGGGGCGCTGGAGAGGCAACCACACATGGATGTTTCTCTCCCTCTCTTTCTCCCTCCCTTCCCCTCCCTATAAATGAGTAAAATTTAAAAATAAAAATAAAAATTGTGTACAATGCTTTAAAAATTGAGAAAGAGAACGCAACCCCCTGCTTCCAGGTCAGTGCGGACCCGCACGGCCCCCTGTGCGGTGCGGACAAGGCCACCTCAACCCCCGGGGCTGTGCCGTCTGTCCTCGTGGGCAGGAGGCGGGCGGGCCGAACCCGAGTGGCGAGAGGAAAAAAGAGCTCCAGAACGAGAGCACAGGCTTCAAGGCATTTTATTAACACATCGTTCCAATTACAGTACAGCTCGAAACACATTTCCGCACGGCGTCGCACAAGGGTACACAACAACACGGCCCAATGCGTCACTCCTGCTCCCCACGCCTACTCCCGAGGCGGCCGCCGCAGGGCCAGCGGCGGACGCGGGCCCGACAGGCACGCGGCCCGCTCACTGGGACACGCCAAGTCGGTCGACCCAGAGGAAGGACGCTGTCAGCTGGCGGCTCTGAGCGCTCGCCGCGCCCGCAGCTTCGCGCCCGCCTGCGGCGCGCGCTAGGTTGGGAAGGGTCACAGTCAGCCAGAGCAGGGACAGAGGTCGCATGGGCGGGCGGGCAACTCCCAGCAGAACAATAGGGCGTTACTACTAACACTGAACCCACGCACAAGAGGTCCTGCAAGTGGAGGGCAAAACAGAGGGTTAGTGCCGCTGCCGCCGCCACGCCACCGCCGTGGCCTCCGGGGTCGCACTGCAAAGTAACAGAACCCAAGCGTTATTCTCTCGACCACAGACCTGGAGGGACAAGGCAGGGGGCAGACCTGTCAAAGCGAGGCTGAGCGGCGATCCAGGCGCGAGGTGCGCACCGCACTCCGTTCCGGAGCCCCCAGGGCTCCTCCGCACGCCGGCGCTGCGCAGAGGGGCGGGGCCGCCCGGCCACACCAAGGGGGCGGGGGCGGGGCGGGGCAGGAGAGAGCAGGGAGGGGTGGGGGGCGGGGAGAGTCCAAGGGGGCAAGGGGAAGGGGGCCTGGGAGGCCCAAGGCCCTGGCCCCGCCCAGAGCAGCAGCGGAGGCCGGCCCGGGGCTTCGGTGCTGTGGAACCTGGAAATCAAACGGTGGAATTAGAGCTTTGGCGTCCGAGTCCTCCCAGAAGAAAGCACGCCGGGCCGCGCCTGTGGAAAGCAAAGCGGGGTGGTCATGCCGCAGGGCCAACTGCTCTTCCGTCGGCAGTGCGCGCGCCGGCCGCGGGGCGGGGGGCGGCTGGCGGCTCCGTCCTTCCCACGCGGCGTCCACTGCGCGCCCCTTCCGCCGGAGAGCAGGCTACAAGACAGCCGGGCTGAAAGGAGGCGAGGCCAGCCTTCCAGAGCGCACGACATTACTAACTACCTACGGGACCTACGGGAACAGCGCATCTGCCTGCCCACTCTGCAACGTGAAAACTTGAGAACTGCGTGATGTTCTTTAAGGGCCTGCCTTTTTCTACAAACCTTTGAAAACTAGTAAAACAAGAACGAACACCGACACGGGGCCCTGTTCACAGGCTAGTCGGTTCCAAGTCGAAGGAAAAAGCCTTCTCACTGAGCGGGCTCCCTGCCGGAACACGACCCAGGGAGCGGGCGAGGTCTCTAAGCACTCCCTGGGCAAGGCGGGCCACTGCCCGCCACCAGAAGGTGTACCTGGGATCCAATATGAATCGGTGGGTCTGGCTGCGGTTCCAGGACGCAGAACCACAGCCCTCGGGGGGTGGAAATCAAACAGGTTGCAAAAAACCTTACACAAAAATCCTTAGGATTCAGTAGTACATCAAGGCTACATGCCTTTGTCGAGTTATCTGGAAGTGTCCAAAATAACACTCCATTCACAAATTTTAAAAACAGGTGAAAAGGTTACCTGAGATGCTCACTAAATAAATAAATAAATAAACAAACTTTCGAAGGACCTCAGCTCCCCCCTTTCGATCTGTGTGGCCACCTTCCTGGGTCTCTGGCCCCCCGTCGTCGCCCGTCCCCCCCCCCCCCGCCCGTCAGTGAACCCCTGCCAGAGTCCGTCCCTGGACAGTGTGTCAGGAACCCACAACACCGAGGTGCGCTCTCCCCGTGGGGTTGGGGCTCTACCTGAGGTGGGGGCTGAGTGCGGCTGGCCTGGGGGGCGCTAGGCCCGGCCCAGGAGGGGCGCCCCGGCGGCCCAGCACGCCGGCCTCGCTCCGGACCTCACTGTCCTCGGGGGGGTGGGGGGGCGTCAGTCTGCTGGTCTAGGGCGCGTGGAGCTTACCTTCAGCTGAACAGAAACAAGGAACAAAACAGAAGGGAACGGAAGGACACAGGAGGAGAAGCGACAGCTGCCGGAGACGCGCCCCCCCAGCGGGGCTCACTCACCGCCCCGCACGAGCCGCCACCCCTGCGGGCCCAGGGCAGCCGAGCGCTCCCGGCGACCCTGGCGCTGCCCACCCGCTCGCCCTCCGGTGGGAGCGTCCAGCAGACACTTCCCGAGACGCCGGGCGCCCGGCGCCCACACGCCGCTCTGCGGCACACCCTCGTCACAGTGGCCCACTCTGCGAGTCCCCCCTCCCCCCGGCCCTTCCTCCTGCCCCCTCGCCACCCCCGGCCCCCAGCAACAAGATCTTCTGTTGGCAGAATTACGCAAAACGCTGTTGGGAGAAAGGACCTCTGGGTGCAGGACCTAAGCTGCCACAGTTCAGAAACGCTACAGAACCAAGCGTGAACAGTTGTTCCCCAGGACCTTTACAATCACCAGAGGACAGCCCAGTGGGAAACACTTGTGAGGAAGCCCACCCCGCCCGCCTCCCTCCCCAGGGCCGAGGCCACAGGCCCCTACTGGATGCTGCCTGTTCAGGAACAGGGACCCTCAACATTTCTTCCGGAAAAAGAGACCAGATTCCCCCTTTAGAAGAACACCAGTATACGGATTGAACAAAGGTGGCCAGACCAACAGCACCGCAAGGTGACGCCCAGGCAGCTGGGCAGAGTCGTTACAAGCACAAACTCAACACAAGGTAATGCGAAAGGAAAGCACCTCTCGGCCCCACAAATCGCCTGCTGGGTTTACCTTACGAGATACACTCACAGTTACTGGCTTTCAGCTTCTGGAATTTGTGAACAAATAATACACAGGTCAGGATAAATGTATTGACTTACTCCCATCTTTATAAAAATCGAATACACACACGAACACGTCAACAGTTGTGGAACTAGATCCATGAAACTCCCATGAGACAACACAGAAGGACTAGCAAACAGCTAAGGCGCTGCTGAGTTGAAAGCATATCCAGGGACACTTGGATCTTCAAAGGGCCGTATTTACAGTCTGCGGGGCGCTCCCGCGACCCCTGCACACGCACGATAGAGAAAGAACAGAGATAATGGTTGCAACAGATCTTCCCAGAGGGCTCAGCTCTGGTGCCCGGCTTCCCCAGGGAAGCGCGCCGAGAACGGAAGGGTCGTGACTTTCTACTCCCTGTTTCCTTCTCTGCAGTCCCCTCCCAGGAAGCGCAGCGGTGCCCCCGGGTCTGGCAGCGGGCGCGGAGTGGCACAGAGGCGTGCCCACCAGTGCTCTAGGGAAAGCCCACTGCACCCTGGGGTCTGCACCGCAGGGGCCGTGCGTCAAGAGAAAGCCGGCCTGTGCGCACAGACAGGCATGCGCGGCCCGGGCACCCCCGGGCACCCCGAGGCCGGGAGCCGGCGGGGAGCGAGGGGCCCACGTGGAGCCTCTGCACCTGCTCTTCACAGAGCACGGGCGGGCTCTGGTCCTGGGGCCAGAGCACACGGGGACCACTCCAGAAAGTGGCGACAGCTGGCTTGGCTCACACCAGTGCCCCACGCGTCCTCGGCACCAAGCCTGCGGGCCTGAGCCCCTGCCGGCACCCAGCGTGGGGAAGAGGTCTGGGTCGCTCAGAACTAGAGCTCCGGCCACCCCACCGCCTCTCAGCCCCGCGGGCCGAGCTGACTCCACCACGTTCACAGGCGAACACACCTGCAGGTACTTGGGGGAGGGTGCGGCGAGCCCACGCCAGCGGCTGGCGGGCACGAGGGACCGCCGTGTGGGAAACCCCGCGGCGTCCCCGGGCAGGGGCCGCCAGGGCCCTCTGGAGCGAGGGTGGCAGGCGCCCAAGCTACAGACCGTCCAGGGGACCCTACGAGACCTACACTTGGCTGCACTGACGTCTCCGGGGACGGCCAGCACCCCCACGGCCCAGGGTTGCTCTCAGCACACAAGGCCGCCCGAGAATGAAGGTGACATGGGTCTCCCAGGGTTTGGGGACTCCCCTCCAGTGCTGGCCACTGACTTTGAAAAAGCAGAGTAACACATCAACTGTGCAGATGGGATGGCACTAACTCCCACTACCTGCGTCTGGCACCCTCCACTCCCACAGGGGCCCAGCCACACAGGCCTCCGGGTCCCCTCACGGGTGCCCGCCGGGCTGACCGGAGATGGCCAGGGGCAACAAGCTTCTATTTGCACTAACTCTGTGAGTAACTTGGACGTGGCGTCTCGGGTACGAAGCATAGCTAGGAAGTCCGGGTCCGCCCTGGCACTGTGGCTCCGGGCTCGGGGCCCCGGGAGGTCCGGTCCCGCCCGGACCCCTCCGCGAGCAAGGGCACAGTAAGGCACTTTGTCAGCGCCGGCCCAGAGTGCGGCTTCCTAAGGCCACTACGAGAACTCGGGTCCCCTTAATGGGGCCTCCGCAGAATCGCCCAGGCGGAGTCACAGGGGGGACACACCGACCTCACCCGGGTCTCGCCATCCCTGTGACGCAGCCCACTCACAGCACACGCCACGGAGAGAGTCGGGCCAGGGCCAGGCCGCCTTGCTCTCAGGTCTGCTGGAGGACAGTGCCCCGCCCACTCAGAAGGCCTTCAAAAAAGAAGAAGAAAAAGAAGAAGAAGAAGGAGGAGGAAGAGAAGGAGAAGAAGAAAGGTTAATCAAAGCAATAACCAGCTCTCCAAAGAACGGTGCATGCCAAGAGCCAGTGCTGGGGTCCTGCCACTTTGCGCTGCATTTAGAAAAAGAGAAAACCACCACCCAGGCCCGGTCAAGCTCTGGGCTGCCCTTCCCTGCCCGGCAGGTGCACTGTGCCCCCCACCAGGCAGCGGACGCCCCAAGGGCGGCGGCCAGAGGAGCACACACAGCTCCTCTGCACTCAGGGCAGCACGGCAGTGACCGCTGGGTCCTCGCCTTATCTGGGAAGTTAAATGGGGCGGGCAGGCCCCTGAGGAACTCAGAATGTGCAGCGGGCACGTCCAGACCCTGTACAACAAGCAGACTGAGCCGCACAGGGCACCCCCGCCCCGCTCCCCAGGACACGCAGCTGGCAGTCACGGCCACCCGTATTTCCGCCTGCGGTCCGAGAGCCTCCGGGGGCTCCCGGGAAAGACAACGGCCTAGCCTGCACTGAAGATAAGTGCAACCATTATCAAGTGTTCTTCGCTGTGAAAAGCTCAGAGAACCTGCCGCTGACCTCCCTCCCTAACCCTGAGTCACGGGGAGCGCTCGGTCGGCCAGACAGTGAGGTCACGAAGAACAATGTCTACATGCATTGTGAGCACTTCGAACACAAAAGAAAACAAGGACTCGAGTTCTCGGGGTGACGACAGAGTCTGAAGCCATCTGACACCGAACTGCGGCCCGCCGCGTCCCACAAGTCCAGCTCCCCCGGAAGCAGCGCTGGGCTGCCCGGCGCTCCGGACGGTCGGCAGGCGGGGCGGAGACTGCGGCTCGAGCGGCGGGCGCGGCAGCTCCCTCGAAGAAACTCCTCAGCTTGCGTGTGCGGTCGGCCTCCCTGCCGGGAGTCACTCGACAATCAGGGCCACGTTTATGTGGGACAGGTCTATCATGTGCCTGCGGGGACGAGAGAGACCGCCGCCGTCAGCGCTGCAGGCCAGGGCCGGCTCCCCGGGGCCGAGAGGGCTCTGGGGGTGGGGGTGGGGGCCCAGGCAGGAGCACCGGTTCCAGGGGAGCACAGGCCAACAGCAATGCCACCCGCCCCCCACCCCCCTCAGGAAGACAGCAGTGCCCACTGCGCGTCCTTGTGTGCTTCCCCCGGGACGGGCCCATGCACCGGCATGCAGAGCAGCAGCACGTCTGACCCAGAGCAGCCGGCAGAGGAGCAGCCCCCTGCACCCAAGCCCCTGCGACTGACCGCGGAGGCCACGGCTACCTGTGGAACTTCTGCTGGAACGCTAGCGCGTGGGCTGGCTCCTTAAACTTAGCGATGGCTTTCCGCTGCTGGGGAAGCATCTGTAAACTCTAGAGAGAACACAGACATGGTAGCGTCACGTTGTGTGGTAAAGAAGCACATGTGCAAACATTGGACTTAACACAAAATTCAAGTTCAAACGGACACTTGGATCCCTCGAACAGCGTCCGTTGGGGAGCCACGCCCCGAGAGCACACGCGCTCCCCAGGCCTGGCGTTCAGGCCTGGCCAGGGCAGCGGGCAGTCTGCCCTCAGCGCCGCCTCTGAGCCCAGGGCAGGCACCCTGAGAGCGCCCCCGGCTCGCAGGCCTGCCCATCGAGCGACCGTCCGCGGTGTCTTGGGTTTGAAATGCCAGGCTCCTCTCCGACAGGAAAACGCCTCCCGGCCGCAGTGGGTGCCCCTCCCGGGGCGACGCCCCAGCGTGGAATGAGGGCAGAGGGCGGCGTCCGCACCGTCTGCCGCGTGACACAGGAACACGCCTCTGCAAGGGGGCGTGCGGGCGGTCGGGGCCAGAACACCATCCCAAGTCTGCTTCCTGCCTGGTCCCTCTTGTTTGCATTTTGGTGCCTTTTCAAAATAAACAAACAAACCCTATTTTCTAGATATGACAATGAATTGCAAAAACTGTCCCCTTTCAACTTATCAAAGCGACGTGCACCGTCCTCAGAAAGCAGCACAGGAGAGGACATGCGGCGCCAGCAGCGGCAAGGCTGGCTCGCCGCCGCCGCTCTGGAAGGCCCTGGCAACAGGCAGGCCCGCGTTCCCCCTGGGGTTCGAAGCCCCTCTGTCCCCACCTCCCACTCACCTGGCTCCCTGGTCAGCCCTTGGCGACAGGGCAGCCTCAGACGGCCCCAAGGACGAGCACCCGCCCCACTGTAAACCGCACACACGGCGAGAACCCTCACGTTGGCTCTTCAGCAGCCCACGCAGGTGGGGCTGCGGGGCCACACTGCCCAGGACACCTGCTCACGGAGAGCTGCCCTCGCTGCCCACTGCCCGGCCCCCTCCCTGCCGGGACACACGCTCCCGGCCAGGACTGCGAGTCCGTGCGGGCAGACCCACTGGGCTCGCTTCCCTCTGGCTGGCAGCCCTTCACACCCTCAGGCAGTCCCCACCTAGAGCCAACGACAGTCTCACCTGTTTCAACACAACAGTGGAACTGTGTCGGAGTGGCCCCTTGAGGGGACAGGCCCAGGACCTGACTCGGGGGTCTCTCCTGCTGGCAAGGAGGCACCAGGAGCAGCAAGGGCTGTCCCAAAGGGGCCTGAGCAGTAATGGGGAGCCTTTGCGGCAGAGTCCTGGGCAGCCCCATGCCACACCGATGTCGCCAGATCGATCGTGGCTCCTCTGCACAATCCCAAAAACCACTCCCCTTCTCCAGCTGTGACGACGAACGCAGACGCAGTCCCGACCCAGCCGCAGCAAGCCACCAGCAGCGGTCCGGTCCTCTCCGACACAGCTGCCGTGTGCGTCTGAGCGCCCCACGCCCACGCCCACGCCGGGCCACCCCGCCTTCCCCAAAGACGGGCCCTTCCTCAGAGCCCTGTGTCCTCGCCCTGTCTCCTAACTGCCCGGGGACACTGGGGGACAGCCTCCGCCGACCTGCCTGCGCGAGCACTCCGGGGCCCGCGGCCCGCCCAGACCGTCCGCAGGCCTGGGGGCGTCTGGCCTCCCTGTCCTCCTCCCCAGAGGCCCTGGGTGCCTGGGGGCAGGCTGCTTTCCCTGGAGACACCCGTGTCCTCCGCGTCACTCGCCGGCCCTTCCCGCTCGCGCGGAGCCAGGCTCAGGGCCGGAGGTGCTCTCGCCGGCCCGGGCGCCCTCTGCTCAGACTCTCCAATGGGACCCTCCCTCCCCAGCGCTCAAGGGGGCCCGTCTGCGCGGACTGGGATGCTTTCTCAGGCTGGCAGCCCGGTGGCCTGCAGCAGCTGCAGGACCGCCGGGAAAGGGAGGTGGACACTGGCAGAGACACGGTGACAATCACAGAACTGGGCACAGACAGGTGGCACCTAAGCACCGGCTATTACTGCGTGGGGGTCGAGGGGACCCCGAAGTGAGGAGGAGCTCTGCACTCTCGGGAGGAAACGGCCTCTTGTCTCTCTGCCAGGGCGTCTCAGCCGTCACAGGTGACAAGCTTTTCTCAGCACGTCGGGTACCGCTCAGCCAACAGGGAAACAAAGACCACGAAGGAAGGGGCTTCGGAAGTGGTGACTGCCCTGCTCCTGGGGCTGACCTGGCCCCGCCTTCTGGACAGAGCAGGCGGGGAGGGCCAGCGCCTGCATGAGGGATGGGCCCTGTCCCTGGAGAGCCCTGGGCCTCCGCAAGCCCTGCCCTCACTCCCCCTTCCGTGTGCCTGCAGGTGACAGCCAGGTTCCCACTCTCACTGCGCCCTCTCACCTGGAGCCCTGGAACCGCCGTGTACCCCCTCCTGCCACTCCTCCCCCTGGCTGGAAACGGTACTCATCCTCCCTGTGTGAACGAGCATCTGCAGACACAAAGGCCTTTGAGGCGGGCTCTCCGGGGAGGTGTGTGAGCGTAGTTCAAGTGGAGACACAATCTGCGGGCAAGGTGCCGCTTCGAGGGCCCTGCGGCTGGGGCGGCAGAGAGAGTGCGCACTGCCACTCTGGAACCCAAGGGCCCGGGGAGCAGCGTCCTCCCAGTGCACGGCCACTGCTGCTGTTGCACCACGTGGGCGCGAGGTGGCGCCACAGCCCAAGGGCTCGGCTGCAGCAGCCAGGGGGAGGCCTCTGCACCCCATCCCTTTCCAGCCTATTCACATGTACACCGTCACTGCAACACGACAGTGTAGTAAGGACCTTTTTTAAAATCTGTGCTCGCCACTCCAGCACTGCCGCAGAGGCTGGTCACACCGGTGTCACGTGGGCGTGAGAAGCTCAGCATCTGCGACTGAAGGTTTAGCAACAGCTCCCCACTCAGACCCCGCCCGGCAGCGAGGCTGGCAGCAGCGCGGCGCGCAGGGCTCGGCCCTGGGGTGTGCACGGTCCAGCAGGAGCGGTCCTCGGGGACTTCACAGGGCCGGGGAACCCCTTGTGCCTCGCTCCAGGGGTGACCGAGGCACCTGAGAACGTCCCCCCCCCCCCCCGCCATGAGGAGGAGCCATCGCAGAACGGCTCTGGTGGCCTTCAGGTGCGTGCCCCCCCTCAGACCTCGACCGCTAACACGACGCCCGCGGGCCTTCCTTCCTTGGAACAGCGGACAGAAAGGCGGGGGCTGGGGGGGTCATCCCAGAGAGGCAGAACTCCAAAATGCAGAGTTCCGATTCTAAGACGGCCACAGTAAGGCTGGGTGGCAGTGCTGCTATTCGCGGTGACCACCCCCAGCCTCCGTCAACACGATGGACGCCGCTGGCACTGGCCAAGGGTCGGGATGCAGCACCCACTCGAGGGCGTGCTGGAGAACCACCGAGGGCGACCCGAGCCCCCCGCCACCCCCCGCCCCAACGCAGGCAGCAGGACAGTGGGCTGCAACACCAGCCCTCACAGGAAGCCCCGGTCCTCAGGACTTCCACGCCTAGGCTCCCTGCTGACCTGTGATCTGACCCCAAATCCACAGCCACAGCGGGCCTGAGTCTCAGAGCAGGACAGCCACACTTGCGTGCCCTCCCGGGTCCGCTCTTTTTCTGCCCAGGAGTCCCAAAGCCTGGGGCCTGTCTGGGAACCGCTGCAGACTCCCTGGGCTCGGTGCTTCTGATGACAAGGAAGCTGCCCACCCCGCCCACGGACGGTGCACTCTTCAACAGAAGCCAGCGTCCTGAGTCACCTTGTCATCACAGTGTGCAACACGGCGGACCCTGCCGCCGCCCTGGGAGAGGCAGAGCGTCTCCACGGCGCTCACGCACACTGCTCCCCGCTCTCGGGAACGCTCCGCAGCACAGGAGACCTGACACGCACTGGGGAGGAGCTGCCCGGGCCTGCTCCCCTCCCCTGGACATGCTCCCTTCGCTCACGACGCCGCGGCCACAGCACGCCCTGAGAGGAGGCGCTGGCGCTCCTGCAGATTCGTGTCTCCCTCAGTCATGCGCACAACATGCTCTGCGCCGGGACGTGGGCTGGCGGGGAGGGCGGGTGACGCCCGGCGGGAAGGCCGAGACGAAGGAGCACTGCGGGAACGCCCGGTGGGCGCCTGCAGGCGCCCCAGCCGACAGGCCCCCGAGCACAGTCCGTCCCCCCCACAGCCCGGCAGCAACCCCGAAGCTCTCGGAGTTTTAGCCAGTTTTCAAACCGAGGGGCCGGAACGCCGTCCGTGTTGTTGTTCCATGTTTGTAAAGCCGAACCCACGCCCCACAGCCGTCAGCGTGGGAGGCTGTTTCTGGGAATTCAGGCCAAGGAGGCTGCACACTTCGCAAGTTCTACATTACTGCAGACAAAACAAGCGTGGGGCAGAAAAACACTACTTACACGAGTGCCTGTGCAAACTCTGGGGTAACTTAAGGATTTCAAAGCATCATTTGTTCTGATGGAATAATTATTCCATAAAGTTTGTAAGTGAGCATCTGAATATTTCCAAGTGACCTCTGAGGCCGAAGTCCCGACAGCAGGTGAACACAGGAGTACCTCTCTTCTGAAATGCACCACCTTCACATGCAGTGACCCACACTCTGCACGCACCAAGATGAGAAATCACGGGACAGAGCGCCCAGACACCGCGAGCCGCGCGGCCTACCTGGATGGGCCCCACCGACGTGAGCAGGCCCCTCAGCTGGGCGTCGGTGGTGGACGACGACAGGCCTTCCACGGACACGACGCAGGGCTGCGGCTTGCACTCCACCACCCGCAGGTTCTGCTTGTTGGGCATCGGGCGCCCGCGGCCCATCGGCCCCGCCGCGCCCCGGCCTCTCCCGTGCATGAGGACCTGCCAATGACAAGAGCGACTGGTCAGTTGGGAAGTTTTGCGTTTTTCTGCACAACTGCTAAGACATAAAAATGAGCAAATAACTCAGAATCCATTAGAATGGACCACGAGCTACGCATTTCCTACGGTTTCTGCCCACTCTCAGAGGAGAACTGAACATCTGCAGGAGACACCGCCACCCAGCCGACTGAAAGGAAGGGCCGGCCTGCGGCGCAGCCGGACCGCGACGCCCCTTCTGCGCTCCCACCGTGCTGGGTGTGAGCAGAGGACCCCGGGGCCCAGGAACGTGCTGTAAGTGGCACCCTCAGGAGTCAGGTCGGCCCTCACGGCCCCAGAGCCCGAGGTTCTCCCTCCACACTCCAGGCCTGCACCGCAGGGGGTGCCGCCACTGCCACCACGCAGGCCCCGCAAGCCACCGCGTCGCCGACCCAGCGCACGTGGACGCTGAACCACCTCCCTGAGCTGGAACTGCAAGTTACAGACTGGCGACGATATCCTCTGCCAGAGCACCAAGCTTAGAGCGCCGACATCACCGGAGGAAAATGGAGGTCAGGACGAGGGGCGTGGGTGGAGCTTCGTTCAAGACAGCGACTGTCCCTCCCCAGGGTACCTCGAGGGTGTTCAACACGTGCAGTACCAGGTGGACCCCCCTTGGATTGTCAAATAAAAAAATGGCAACAGCCAACACAACAAAAGCCATTCAGTGCAAATGGAACAGAATTACGCCTATTTTTTGTTAGCTTGGCAAAAACCAGCATTTTTCAGCGTGCCACAGAATTCCGGTAATCGGTGTGCGCGAGCCACGGGGGAGAAGGGCCGAAGCGCCCGCCCCGGGCGCAGAGCAGCACGGGCGGCGTGCTTCCCCAAGGCCTCCTCGCCGCACATCCACGGGGCGCCCTGACTGCACCCCCAGCGGCTGCACCTGCACACACGGCTTGCTGGGTCTGCCCACCTGTCTCCTGCTGCAAGAACGGAAGACCCCCCTCAGCCCACATCGTCACCCGGCTAGGGGGTGATGCACCAGCGCAGCACAGACACTGTCCAGACCCAGAGCTGTCTCCACGTCCCACACTACTCCTCAAGCGCCCCGGCACACCACAGGCAGGCGGGCTGGACCAGGTGGTCCCAGAGCTTTCCAGGAGAAACCCAGCGGGTGTTGCTGCCCCACCCCCCCGGCCCATCTCCTCAGACAGGGCATGGGGCACGACTCTGGGCAGGCTGCGCAGGGGCCCCTCTCCAGGGGCAGAGGCAGGCCCTCCACCCGTGGGACACAGGGGACAAGGCTCCTCAGCCCTCGGAGAGGGGCCGCAAGCCAGCTCACAGATGGAGAACACCCGCCCCAGCAGGAGGGGTCGGAGAACACAGCGCCCTGTTGCCCACGGCCCTGCTGCCCACCGGGCGAGGGACGGACTCAACAGTCATGGTCGGAGCCATTCTGCTGGGCAGGGCGCTTTGCCCACAAGGCCCCGGACCCCCACCTGCCAGCTGGGGTGCTGAGGAGGAGACAGGCCGCCCGTGGAGTCTGCAGAGCCAGCAGGTGGGGAGAGCGTGCCGGGCTGGGCTGTCCCCAGGGCCCGGCTCTGAGCAGCAGGCAGCCGCCGCACCCTCGTGGCGGGCGCCGTCCCGGGGCCGAGCCACTAGGAAGTCACGACAGGAGGCGTGCTTCTGCAAGCAGCAGGAGAGCCAAGGAAACTGGGGTCCCTCGTCCCCTGGTGTGGGCACGCCCGTGCGCCAGGCACTCCCTCCCGTCAGACCTGCCAGCCTCGCGGGCCACGGCGCCAAGGGGGCGCAGGCGCACCTTCTTGGCCGGGTGGATCCCCTGGGTGCTCCTGATGCCCGGAGGGCCGGCCGAGTGCACGTGGGCCCCGCCCGGCAGGTGCTGGGGCTGCGGGAGGGCCCCTTTGGTCAGTGTCACCTTGCGGGCAGGCTGCTGTCTCACTTCGGGGGGCTGGGGGGGCCTCGGGGGCTGGCCGTCCGGGTGAAAAAAGCCATCGCTCTCTCCTCCCTGCTGAAAGGAACAAGGCAGCAGACTGGTCAGTGTCTGCGCGGCCCGGCACCCCGCCCGCCGCACCAGTGAGCCTTCAACCGCGAGGCAAGTCGTCCAACCCCAGAACACGGAACCTGCCTCGGCACTGGAGCCACCAGGACGCATCTCGCCTGACGGTGTCTGGGTTTGAGTAACCCCTCAAAACGAAAACACTGAGCCCGTGGACTGCCCACCCGGGAGGTCTGTGACTCAAGTCAGTGCTGCTTAGTTCACGGGACAGCGCTGAACTTGAACACACTTCATACTTTGTGTGCATTTTCCATTTGCCCGAGGAGCGTGCGTGTTCACACCACAAGAGCATGCGTGCGCACTGGTTCTGACCCTCCCCGGCGGCTCCACCCTGTGGCGGGCGGGCCCCCACGTTCTCGCACCCCTGGCTGTAGTGGTGAGCCCAGGCGCGTGTCCGGCCCGCCCTTCCTCAGACACAGCAGGGAGCGCGCGGACTCTCGGACTGGGGGCACAGGGCTTACAGGCCGGTGAGTGCCGTCACCCCCTCTGCTAAGGCACAGGTGCCACCCGCAGCCACATGATTTCAGAAGGGGAACTCGTGTATTCTGGTAAAAGCGTCCCAAGTACCAGAAACCTCGCCTTCTGCATCTCACTAATGCTCCCTCAGCTCGTGACCGTAAACACCACCACGTGTGCAGGAAGCAGCGCACATCAAGCTGCACTGCGGACATCAGGACGCCGAGGGCAGCACACGGACCCTCGGGCTGTGCCCCCCAGGCCCCAGCAGTGTCGGGCCGGCACAGAGGGCCAAGGAAGAACGCGTGGGCACCAGACAGCCAGACCCTGCCCAGCTAAGCTACGTCGTCTCGACAGAGACGGACACTCGGAGGCGGACAGCCTGTGCAGACTCGCGAGCACCACGCTCTGCGCAGACGCACCCAGGGACACGGCGATCGGGGCTGGGAACCCTTCCCCGCGTAGACTGCCTGCTCCGCAGCGCTTTCCGGGAGGAGCCTGGTGACCGACCGGGCACAGAAGGAGCCCATGGAGTCTGCCTGTCTCCCCCTGAACGCCTCTCTCGGAGACAGTTCAACGAAACACAGGGAAGGAACAGGGACTGGAGCAGTAAGATTATTGAAAAACTGCCCCAACTAATGGGACCTAAGAAAAAAATGGGATGGAACAGCCACCCAGAAGGGAGGCTTGTGGCCCTGGAAGCACGGGGAGACAGGCAAAGCCGCCCCCTCCCGAGCATGTAGATGCACAAAACTGTCCGGCACGAGCACCTCAGGACACAGGACACGGAATGGTGAGTGCAGGGCACGCAGGGCAGCGGGGCGGGGCCCCCAGGGGGCTCGGGAAGGCCCACAGAGCTGACAGCCTGCGGCCCGAAATATGAGAACGAGAGTGAGGAAGTCCTGGCAATGGGAGAACCACCGAGGGCCTGGCTCAGCGCCCCCCCCCCCCCCGCCCCCGCCCCGTGCGGGGCCTCCGGGCGGCAGGAGGGAGGAGCCTGGGGGCTGCGCGTGCGGCTCGGACCTGCATGGACCGCCAGCCGAGGGACCCAGGGACCCGACCCAAGTCCTCCCAAGGGCTGACTGACTGCTAAGCTGCGTGGTGGCAGGGTCAAGCCCTAGGAAACCAGGCTGTGAACGAACAAATACTCTGAACTAAATGAAAATACAACGTATCAAAACCCTGGGGATGCAACTACAGCAGTTATATCAGAAAGGAAAAAACATGTAAAATCAGTACGTGAGCTTTTATCTGAAGAAGCTAGGAGAAAAAAATAGAAGGAAATAAACAGAGCACAGCGAAAGACAATGACATAGTAAACAGGAAAAAGAGAAAAATCAATGAAACCAAAAGTTGGGTTTTTGAGACCAACGAAATGAATAACCCTTTCACTAAACTGATCAAGAAAACGGAACTTCACCATGACTGAGATCAGGAAGAGGGCAGAGATGATCAGAACCGGTGCTACAAAAATTAAAAGGGGTATCATGAACAACTTCATGCCAACACACCAGACAATCTAGAAAACCACCACATTCCACAGAAGACGCAAGGCGCCCAAACCAACTCAGGAAGAGACCCAGGTGCCCGGAGAGGAAGGTCCGGCCCGAGCGGACGCAGCGGCTCACCCCACCGACTGCCCCGGGGAAGAAGGCCGCCCGTCTTCACACGCCCTTCCAGGACGCAGAGCAGCACTCGCGTCCCCTCATCCCCGAGGCCGAGGCTGCCCTGACCCCGGAGCAGAAACAGACACAGGGGAAGAGACAGCCACAAAAGAACACACCCCGTGGACACGCCGAAGAGAAACCGCGCCGGCATCTCCGCAAACTGACTCGGCAACACGGAGAACGGACCGCACTCCACGGCCACGGAAGACAGATCCCAGGACAGGAAGGCTGGGTCAATGCTAGAAAAAGGGTCAGTTGGGCTGAGCTCGTTCCCTGAGAGCAGACTAGGACCACCCTGCCGGGACGGGCAGTGCTCATCCGGACAGCCGAACAGGACTGGGGGCTGCTGGCGCCCCCTTCACACCCGCGGGTGCAGGGCCGAGCGCTGCCTCCCAAGCCCATTCCTACCCCAACTACCTGGACAAGCGCGCACCCCCGTCACCGTGCGGCTTTCCGCACCCGTGACCCTGGGCGCTGACCGGGAGCCACCGGATGGGAAGCTCGGAGGCGGGACCCAGGCGCAGCCGCTCTGAGGCTCGTCAGCCACCGCACTGTCCAGAAGGGGCCGGGGACGCCAGAGCCAGGCAGCCCCTCGGCGTCCGGTGGCTGCCTCAGTGATGCGTGTCACTGCTGTCCCCACACATGCTCTGGCTGAGAGGCACCCCACCGGTGGAGGAGCCCCCCCACCCCGTGAAGACGGAGCCCCGGGAAGGCGGGCCCCCCACGGGGTGGTGGTCCACATGAGCAGGCTGCTGGCGGGCGCCCCGGAACTTCTCCCCAAGGCCTTTTCTCCGAGGTGCGGCAGGCTCCCCGGGTGGGCGGTGACGACCTATGCTAAGAGCACAATTATTCAATGGCTGTGAAATTTTCTACGCCAAAAACATTTTTAAGGGTATGTACAACATGTCCCCATCTTCCTTAAGAGCCAGTGATCCATCCCACAGTAATTCATCTAAACTCCTGCTGAAACTATGTCCGCACAAGATTCATAAACGCACGACATACGTGTTAAGTCACGCGGTTCTGAAAACTTCTCTCCCTCCCGTGGGCTGACATGTCACAGCTTGGGCCCCCGAGGCGCCCCCCACAGCTCGGCTCCCCACCCATATGAGTCACGACCTGGCCGTGCCTGCACCCTCAACTCTCTGGGGGGTCTCCCATGTTAAGGGGCTCCCTGGAAGCTCGCCTGACAAGGCGAGGGAGGCGAGGGTTCAAGGCCACCTGGCACCCGTGCTATCTTGTTAAACGTCTACAGAGACCCAGGTGTTCAGACCCCAGTAAGTCTGCTCTGTCCACCAAGCCACACCCCAGCGGACACTCGGGCAGCGCAGGGCTGTTCGGCTGTCCGAACACCAGCACGCAGAGCACACTGAACACGGAGGGGCTCCGTGCGTGCCGGCAGGGCCTCGGCGTGCCCGGGCCCAACGCTACACCGAGGCAGGCCTAGGAGGGATGAAAATCACCAGGCGAGAAGACGGCACCGTGGGGAGCTGCCCGCGGGCCCTGCCCAGGAAGACCAGGGTCTGGGGTCGGCTTGACTGGCATGCCAGGATGCAGCTTCCCCCAGCCACCAGCTGCAGGCCATCCAGCGCTGACGCCCCGACCGCAGGCTTCTGCGTTTAAAAACCCCGATCTAAAGAACAACCGGGCGCAACCGAGTGAGTCCTAACCTCCCTCGGTTGGCCCCACTTTCCCTTCCACTCCCACTCACGAACCCTGCTCTCCTTAGCCGCTGCAGCTGTCCGGCTTCTTGAGCGACACCGACCTCACGCCCGAGGGCACGGCAGTGCCGACGGCACAGTCACGCCTGCTACACGTCAGGCCGAGACCACGAAGGCCGGCCTCCGGGCACAGCCGAGGCCCACGCTGCCCCGCGGAGTCAGGCCCGTTGGCGGGCCAGGGCGGCCTGAAGGAAGGGGCCCGCACAGACCTTGCGGACGGGAGGGAGCGCCTGCGTGACCCAAGCCGGAAGGCAGGCGCCCGGGAAAACCAGCTGCAGCGTGCCCAGAAGGGCCTGCACCAGCCCCAGGGGTCGCTGTTGGCCCGCCTGAAGGTACTCGGTGAGTGCCGATACTTGGGTGACAAGTGCACAACACCAACGCCTTTCAAACTGGGAACTGAGAACACAGATACTTAGTCAATGAGCACCCCAAAGAAAAATCTTCTTCATTATTACTTTGAATAACTGTGATCATTTACATCTGACTGTATTCATGTCAGATATGAGTCCTAAAAAAATGAAGTTCTAACTTTTCATTTTCCTTTCAAGAAAAGCTTACTCTTTCATACAGGTGTGAACCCCATTTAGAGTTCAGAAATACAGGGTAAGAGAACTTCTGGCCAAGACGGAGGCGTAGGCAGACACACTCTGCCTCCTCACACAACCAAAACAAGGACAACAACAGATTTAAAAACAAAAAACAACCAGAACTGCCAGAAAATCAAACTGTATGGAAGTCCGACAACCAAGAAGCTGAAGAAGAAACATCCATCCAGACCAGTAGGAGGGTGGAGACAGACAGCCGGGTGGAGAGGACTCGTGGCCAGGAGGCGGCTGGAGGACAGGGCGGTCCCATGTTCACGCACAGATAAACCGGGAGGAACAACTGGGGAACGAGACAGATCACACAACCCAGAGCTCCAGTGCGGGAAATAAAGCCTCCAAACCTCTGACTGAAAACACCTGTGAGGGTTGAGGTGGCAGGAGAAACTCCCAGCCTCACAGGAGAGTCCGTTGGAGAGACCCACGGGGTCCTAGAACGTGCACAAACCCACCCAGGAATCAGCACCAGGAGGGCCCCCCTGGCTTGCGGCAAGTGGGGCAGTGAC